CATCACCTCACCTACACCCCATTACCCACCTACACCCCTTCCCACACCCCATCACCCCTCACCTACACCCCATTACCCACCTACACCCCTTCCCACACCCCATCACCCCTCACCTACACCCCATTACCCACCTACACCCCTTCCCACACCCCAGCAAGTTGTCACCACCACCACCACCACCACACCCTGATGGAGTACCCGAAGCAGTAGTACGTACAGCGTCACCTCTATCAGATAATGAGTGGGGCGCCCCTGTCCACATGTTTGACCATTATACTGAGGAACAAAAGGCGTGGAGTGGGCGGTGAGTGGGGGCGCCCCGTGGAGAGGCCTGGGAACCCTCTCATTACGCTATGATACCCACTCGGGCGGCCGGGCGGCGGGTGGCGGCCCTTAGTGGCAGGGGGCCGTTCCCAGGACTTGTTCAGGGCTAGGAGGAATAAAGGTAAGGAGTGTTTGTAGGGGAAGGGGTGAGGGTAGGGGGTGTTTTAGGGGAAGGGGTTAAGGTAGGGGGTGTCTCCTGGCCTATTAGGGGAGAGCGTTATCTGTCTATCTATCTATCTATCTATGTATGTATGTATGTATCTATCTATCTATCTATATAACTATCTATCTAAATTTTTATCTGTGTGTCTGTCTGTCTGTCTGTCTGTCTGTGTCTGTCTGTCCGTCTGTCTGTCTGTCTCCATGTAATAGCCTTCGTCATTTCAATAATTATATGTTATCTTCAGTTATCTGGTTGTTTCCAATTATGTTCTGCTAACTCTCATTCATCTCTCTTCACGTCTAACCTATCATTTATTGCCTCCTTTCTTGCGTCTCTTCTTATTCTTTTATTTCTTATTATTTTATTTTCTCTTAATCTCTTTTGGCTTTTGTGTGTTTCTTTGTGTCTTTTTGGCGTTTTGTTATGTTTTTTTAAATAAACACACACACACACACACACACACACACACACACACACACACACACACACACACACACACACACACATAGGTTCAACAAATAACACCAAGGTATATTTGAACCCTAGAAATTACCTTTACATCTTAGGGGTTCAAAATGGGTTCAGTATTGACCTTTGGTTTCCATAGACACATTATGAACCTCGACTTCACGCTCACAGGTTCAACCAAGCAATGTCAAGCCATCTCTTAACCCTAAACTGAGCTTTGACTCAAATTAGTAGTCACCAGAGATATTTTGAACCCCTGAAATGAACTTTATGGGTAATCGAAACAGTGAACTAAACCTCATGAGTCATGAAAACAGTGAACTGAACCTTGGGAGTCATGAAAACAGTGAACTGAACCTTAGGAGTCATCGAAATAGTGATCCGATTCTTAGGATTCAATGAAACAGTATCAAAACAACATTGAACCCTTGAACTGAACCTTAGGAGTCATCGAAACAGTGAACCGATTCTTAGGATTCAATGAAACAGTATCAACACAACTTTGAACCCCTGAACCGAACCTTACGAGTGCCCAATATTAAGTTAAGAGTGTGAGAGGTACATTTCTACTTTAACTCGCCTGAAAACACGTCTGGGATTATATTAACCACAGAGATGTCTGAATCAAATCACCATAGAGTTTCCTCACGAGAAAGAAACTGTAGAATTAGTGGTTAAATCAGCTGAAAGGAGATGTGTGTTTGGGAATAAGTGAATTATACAGAGTTTTAATGGGGTGTGAGGGTCGGGGTACGTTATAAATGCAAGAGGTGGGGGGGGGGGTGTTCCTTAGGTGGGGGTGATGGGGGTTGAGGGAGGGTCCTGTGTGAGCATCTTATTTTTCTTTTTCTCCCTTTATTGTGTTAGTCTTCCTCCTCCTCCTCCTTCTTCTTTTCTCCTTCCTCTTCTTGCTCTGTTCTTATTATTATTCTCCTCCTGTTCCTTCTCCTCTTCTTTCTTTTTCTTCTTCATATCTACTTTTTCATCTTCTTCCTCTGTTCTTTTCTTTCTTATTCTCCTCCTCCTCTTCTTCCTTTTCCTTCTCCTTTTCTTCCTCTTCTTCCTCCTGCTTCTCTTCTACCAGATTACCCGCCCAATGGGGAGTCATGATTTCTTTTAATAAACCTGTAAAAAAGACTAATATGCCTTCATCCAGGACTTGTAACAAAAATCAACTGTTATTAATAGAGTCTACATAATATACCTGATTAAAAGTTATTTTCTAGCTACAGAAATATACATATACTGTATGTATTTACTGTAGATATATGTTGTTGTAGAATATTTTATCCACAAACCTTTGGTGCTCGAACATTATAAACAGTAAATAATTATCTTTATCATGACAACTCTGAACCTTTGAACTGAACCTTGAATGCATTACGAACCATCAAAACAGTATCGTAACAACTTTGAACCTTTGAACTGAACCTTGATGCATTACGAACCATCAAAACAGTATCGTAACAACTCTGAACCTTTGAACTGAACCTTGAATGCATTACGAACCATCAAAACAGTATCGTAACAACTTTGAACCTTTGAACTGAACCTTTAATGCATTACGAACCATCAAAACAGTATCGTAACAACTTTGAACCTTTGAACTGAACCTTTAATACATTACGAACCATCAAAACAGTATCGTAACAACTTTGAACCTTTGAACTGAACCTTTAATACATTACGAACCATCAAAACAGTATCGTAACAACTTTGAACCTATGAACTAAACCTTTAATGCATTACGAACCATCAAAACAGTATCGTAACAACTTTGAACCTATGATCTGAACCTTTATTAGCTTCATATACGTGTTTAAGGTCTGTTTACTCCTCTTCATGAACATTTATGATGGTGAACTTGATTCTCTTCTAAATGATGGTTCTCTTTTCCTGTCCATTCTCTCTCCTTTCGTTTTTATTTGTGTCTTGAAATCTCTCGCTGTCTCTCTCGTTATCAGTGAAATATTCTACCGATATAAACAACTTTCTTACGTGTTATTTCTTCTTTTCTTTTGACTATTATTTAAGTTACCTTTTTCATCTTCTATAACTAGACTTTTTTTTTTTAGGCTTCTTTATTTCTTGAATCGTGTTTATTTTATTAAACTAAGTGTATTTATTTATTTTTTTTATTGTTATTATTATTGTTTTTATTGTTATTATTATTATCATTATTATTATTGTTGCTGTTGTTATTGTTGTAAGTTATCATCACCATCTATTTGTTATAATAATGGAACATGAGTTTGTGTACAGTAAGGTCGCCAACACAGTATAAATAACACAATAGGAATTAAGAAACAAACAGCCATGTAATATATATAATAATATACTTCACAGTATTTATTCACCAACTGCGAGTCACAAGCACAAAGGCACCAGGACCTCTTGGCCCACCAGGTCAGTCAACAGCCATCATCACCAAAAACACAACCAAACATCGACCTTTCTGACCCCTATAAGCATGAGGGCGCCATTCGGTCACACTTAATCCTAATTTACTGCAGGTTTTGTTACACTGGTAAACAACTTTGTGACTAGAGTACAATATGGGGGCAAATATTCGCAGGAAAAATATCTCCGTACCATAAAGAAGAATAAAGACTACAATAGCCAAGCCTCGCTAAAAGGGATGGGATCAAATGTATAAGGGATTAGGTCTGACCCGGGTAAAGGGATCGGAACCCATAAGTCGGCGCCAAATGTCAACATCTCGGAGCTTATAGTCAGTGGACGGCTCTCTTACGCTCTTATTATTCCTTCATTTCCGCTTCTTTACGTTCTCCTTATCTCTGGATCATTAATAAATACTTTTTTTTATTGGCCATTTCATAAATTTTAGGTCTTAGGATGCTTAAAAGGTCATCATTATAAATACCTCAGAGCTCAAAGGATCACACCACCGAACGAACACTTATGTAATGTATTATTTCTCCTGTCCGATGAATTGTGGAATACATCGTAAGTCATCAGTTAAATGTAATAACTCGGATTAGATGTAAAGTTTGTTTATGTTTCGTGATGTAACATAATATATTCACGGCTTATTTATTTATTATTATTATATGATTTAATATTACCAAGCTAAGAATGGAGAACTTGTATTCTGAAGGTAAAATTATACGTTATTGGCATATGTATTATGTTAGGATATATAGATAACTGGACTACCGTATGTATGTATGTATGTATGTATGTATGTATGTATGTATGTATGTATGTATTCCTTTTCACGACCCGTAACACAATAACGTCATAGATCTATGCAAGACCATTAGACAGTGTTCACTATAGAGGCATAAGTCACTGTAGAGGTAATAGGCACTGTATGACATTTAGAGGCACTGAACACTATATAGAGGCACTCGACACTGTATAAAGACTTGTTAGAGGCATTGGACACTGTATAAAGACTTGTTAGAGGCACTCGACACTGTATAAAGACTTGTTAGAGGCACTCGACACTGTATAAAGACTTGTTAGAGGCACTCGACACTGTATAAAGACTTGTTAGAGGCACTCGACACTGTATAAAGACTTTTTAGAGGCACTCGACACTGTATAAAGACTTGTTAGAGGCACTCGACACTGTATAAAGACTTGTTAGAGGCACTCGACACTGTATAAAGACTTGTTAGAGGCATTGGACACTGTATAGAGACTTAGAAGTAAGGAACTAGAGGCACTGAACACTGTATAGAGGCACTCGACACTGTATAAAGACTTGTTAGAGGCATTGAACACTGTATAGAGACTTAGAAGTAAGGAACTAGAGGCACTGAACACTGTATAGAGGCACTCGACACTGTATAAAGACTTGTTAGAGGCATTCGACACTGTATTAATGTTACATATGCCTTTGTATAGAGAGAGAGAGAGAGAGGGAGAGAGATAGGAGAGATAGAAAGAGAGAGAGAGTAAGGGTTGAGGCCTTGTTTGTAGAGAGAGAGAGAGAGAGAGAGAGAGAGAGAGAGAGAGAGAGAGGAGGGGCTGAGAGAGAGAGAGAGAGAGAGAGGGAGAGAGATAGAGAGATAGAAAGAGTAGAGAGAGTAAGGGTTGAGGCCTTTGTTTGTAGAGAGAGAGAGAGAGAGAGAGAGAGGAGGGGCTCAGGCCTTTGTTAGTAGAGAGACAACAGACGGACAGACAGACGCATAATAAAACTAGATATATTATACAACAAAATCTTTTACACTCAGTTATACATCTCTATGACTATGAAAAAATATATATACATCAATCTGAAAGGCAATAAATCTCGAGGCACTCATGTTGTCTGAACTGTGAAGGAACCTGGAAATACTCGAGTTTCTGGTTGTTGTTTTGTTGCGAATTTTCTATATTTTAAGTATAGTCTATTACAGGTTTGGTACTATAGTCATTTGTATTACTGTATCTCTGTTTATCTTTGTTTTATTGTCTGTGTTTTATAAGTGACTTAGGAATAATAACATTTGTGTTATCCGGAAGTTCCAGGAGTTATATTGATATGTTCTATCTATATTCATTTAGTTTTAGTATCATAAATTTTCATCGCATTTGACAGCCGCCTCAGTATGATTAAGTTATCGTTAATAGTTTGTCTCTAAGTAAGAAAGTGGTGCAATCCTCTCTTCCTGTCTAGTGAGAGCGCGAGATAAGCCACTTGTTTTTATATCACTTTTTTGGGTGTCTCTGGGGGTGAATTTCACACTACGTCTATGTTTTCGTTGCTATCTCGGTCGTAATCTGACTCAGCATCTGACCCGTATGTAGGAGGCTTGTAGTCACCACTCGGGGACTTGGTGTCAGTGCTGGTGACGGTGGCATCATGACAGTGGACGGCGGCTTCCTGTCGGGGACATCCCTGTTCATCTGGGTGCTGGGGCAGGTGATGGTGATGGTGATGTCCGTGATGGTGAAGATGATGGTGATGATGAGGCAGGTTGCCTTTCTTGTCACAATCAACATCACCTTTGAGGTGGTCGTCTCCAGGGTCGACGCTGAGGACCTGATGGTGGATGGAGTCGTCGACGTCCTCGCCTGAGCTGCGACTGTCACAGCCCTGAGAGCCCTGCTGGTCCTTGGAGCGGGACCTGGAGGCCGTACATGTCCTCAGACACGAACACTTCTCCCTCGACTGGCCTCCCTCCTCCTTCTTGTATTTGACGCGGCGGTTTTGGAACCAGATCTTCACCTGTAGGGCAAAAAGGACCAAGAAAAATTTTATTGTGTTATCCTTGGCGGTGCAAGTTGAGGATTTTAACAACAGTAATAGAAACGTCGAGAAACTGGTGCAGTAAAACAACTAAATTATTGTATGATTATACTGTATTACAAATAAGACATTTTCTGTTCTTCTTCACTAGATGAAAACTGTGTTTACGTCTTATATATTATATGATATAAAAGGAAAAGGCTAACCAAGCAACACTAGCAGTTTGGACGAGTTAATTAACGGAGAGTTTTTCTAGACGTGTAAGACAAGAATAAATAACAGAGGACTTATTCTCATCTAGTCCCAAAAACGTTAAGAGAAGGAGCTATTATTATCCTCCAAGATATTGACGTTAAATCCTACAGGTCGATTTTAAATTCTGAGATCAATTACCACATCCCGTCACTCTTAGCGGTGTCCGGCGGAACTACAGAGCAAAACCCAACCTCTGTCCCGCATATCTTACCTAAAACTGGTTTGATTATTATCCCTGAATGAAACTAAATGAATCATATATTTAGAATAGTTCCGTGAAGAGAACTAAACATAGACTATGACTATAAATATATTCTCGAACGAAACAAAATGAAACATAGAATTGATATAGTTACGCGGAGGAAACATAACAAAGTATATACACCAGATCTATTTCCCCAAACGAAACAAAATGAAACATATTAATAATTCCCAGATTTACAATGGTGATAATATTTGAACCCGCCAAAAGATATATAATGAGAGGTAGTTATTTCCTCATAATATTGATTTAAATAATATTAAATACTTGGGCACGACTTCCTGCTACATGTGCAGTATAGTGAAGGACGGTGTGGAGGCTTATGAAGGTGTACTTACCTGATATTTATCCTGTTAACGTTTAAAGGAATATATAATGATGTTTTAATGAATGTCTCGTTGTGAATTAGGGAATATATTTACATACACACTCACGTACACACATACAAACACATACATATACACATATTCGCATAATGAAACACACACACATAAACAGACAGGCAAACAGGCAAACAGACAGACTCACACACACACACACACACACACACACACACACACACACACACACAACTCACCTGCTTCTCAGACAGGTTGAGGTAGGTGGCTATTTCGATCCTCCGGAGTCTACTGAGGTACATGTTGGAGGAGAACTCCCTCTCTAACTCCAGCAGCTGGGTGGAGGTGAAGGCCGTTCTGATTCTCTTGCAGGAGGGGATGTCGTCTGTAGGAGACTCCGAACGAGGCCGCGTCACTCCTGCTGGGGGGGAGAACCAAGGAGGTCTAGGGTTAGTTAAGCGTGTGCATGGGTTGGGAAAGTGGAGAGAGA